CGAAATGATGCAAAATATTTCAGATTGATTTGAAAAGCTTCTGGATAGTATGATAGTGAACTAGTATTTCTGATCATAAAGAATCTGGCAAATTAATGATGTAAGGGCATTTCGAATCGTCTGCCGAGTACGCGAAAGCAAGTACTTCTCCATGTCATCCCAATAGAAAATTATAGGAATACATTAAGCTTGCCCTGAATTCGTGATAATTCGGTGAAGCAGAATTGATTTTTAGGTAATATTGATGAACTTAATGAAATTAATTACTGAGAGTAACGGTCTCAGAGGAGTAAATATCTGAGGATGACTGGAGCACTCGAGTAATTCCTGTGAGAAAGGTTTGTTTTCTTTGCTCGCAGTTTTGTGAGTTTTAAAGCAACCCACAATCAATTAAACACGCTCAGATTCTGAAAGACTTTCCAAAAACTTTTAAGCGACATCTCTGAGAAGTCTATGAACAGATGCCCTCGTTGTTCACTTCCCAAAGAGACAGCACCCCTCAAAACGGCAAATAGTTATTACGAGTGAAGGAATCAATGTAGGACGTGTGTAGATTCCCTGTTTTCAAATTTCATACGAAAAAGTTTTAAGAATACCTTAGTTTTCAGATTGTTAATGCAAAACCAAAAGGTGGCCTTGAAAATATAGTGAAAAATGCATTTCAACAGAAATGATGGAACCATTACAAATATCTAAAAAGCAATCCGTTTTTAACTATAACAATTAAAACAATGGCGGACAGAAATTCATATTTCCTTTAATGCCCCCTAGCCCCCCGCCCGCGAACCTTGTATCCTGATGGCCTCCTTTCCGCTTGCCCCGGCATCCTCGATAAAAAACATATTTAATTTAAAAGTCAACACATGAACAAGTCGCTAAAACGTGTTTTGCATTTTTTTCCCGCTCTCTCTATTTTGGTAATCCGTGTCAATATAAGTTTCTTTTATTTTGATGGATACAAAATGTGTAGTCTTCTATATGAAAAGATCCGATATAATAGTACAACCACTGTAAATAGAAGATAAGCCTTATTTTGCTTGAATTGAGCATTATTTTCTAAAAAAGAAATTTGCCCTCAGAGATTAATTAGAAACACATCAGAATTTCCAGAGTGAAGATTAAGAAATCAAGTTTTTTTTGTATAAAAAAATAACAAAAAAACATAAAATCAGAAATTGTGATCTACTTGAAATAAATAATCTTTCTTATTATTTATATTATTTTCTTTACGTTATTTTCCTTTCAAAACTAAATATAGATACTAAACTAAAAATCACATAATTAAAATGACTTTAATGCTTTAGGAATCACATTGTCTTTTTTTCTCTTTTATTTTTTAACCAATTACAACACAAAACCGGTGTATACTTTTCATAGTTGTTTCACAGCCAACCCCTAAAATAGTTTTTATAAAAAAAATAAGTGTATAATTATTTTGTTGAGTTCAAGCTAATGCAGTTTTACCAAAGAATTTGAATTGGGAGAAGTAAAGCTTCAACACCACAGAGAAAAATTCAGTTTAAAATGTATAAGATGTTGATAAAGTTTACAGGCATAAAGACAGACCTTGATATTTATCTATGCATGCGATCCAAAACCACCTGTAATATCTGACAGCCTGTCAGAGCGCTATACTGAATGGTTTAAAAAGTTAATTCTTAACCTAAAACTTATAATTCTTATTTCTTTAATCTTAGAAATATACTTAAGTTGCCCACTTTAATTTCATTAAAAATCCATTTCATGACAAGAGATGGTAATAAAAAATTGTATGTAATAAGCAATTGAATTGGGAACTCTCATCAGAACATTTTATTTTAAAATTATAACCCAGATTATTAAAGAAATCAGGAACCTTTGAAATTATCTCAGTATGAAGTTTTCTTATGCAGTGCAAATTATCTGCCTTACTTTCAAGAACCAATGGATGACCAAAATTTCTAAAAACTGAACTTCATCAAATCCCTCAAATTTTAACATAATAATGACACTAACCACAAAATGAACAATTCTAAAAACAAATTAACATCTAACAGAAGCAATTCCAAATTAACTCTAATCTTAAAATCTAAATCTTACTCTGAAACAACTAAAACACTAACACCGATAAAAGTGTTTTCGAATTCTTTTGCACAATGAAGTAGCTCGAAGACATCTTCGGAAGCACTAAATTATCGCAATTAAAATTTTTTTATTAACAACTTGCTGTAATTCTACCTATGTCTTAGTTTGTTTAAATTTCTGACCCTTCGTCAGCTGACAAGTAAGAACCGATTCCTTTGCTCTTTATCTAAAACCAAGCAGTCAAGGATGCAGTCAGTATTTGGGAGGGTGACTATTGCAAAGGGTTACTTAAGCGCTATGTTGTTTGTTTTTTTTTTTTTTTTTTTAATATTTAATATTATTAAATTTTCATCTAAAAGTATATTTATGGAAACATATTACCATAGACATTTAAAATGAAAGTATAATTACATTAGAAATATAATAGTAACCATTCATTAAATATTTAAGTGAAAAAATTATTAATTGTAAATTGAAAATTTTTTCTGTAAAATAAAGTACATCGCAGAATAAAGATTTTAAGTATAAATAAGAGCAAAAGCTAATTTGAAAATAGCAGATTTATGCTTTGTACTTCACTAACATTTCAAGTAGAAGGAATATCGCCTGCATGCTGCGAGTTTGCTTCACCGCATGCTGGCTTCAATTCGAAAGTCGCTTGAAGCTAGTCAGGCTGGTTTACATTATTTCTATGACAGTTTGCATTCTTCTCCCCTTCATATTCTTTGGTTTTACTGATCCAGCTGATTAATAACAGAGATGAAGAACAGCATTTATTGTTTTTAAATCACTTAAGTTTATTAATCAATAACGGAGAGATTAAATTTATAAATAAAATTAAATATATTTCGCTTTGCCGAACAGCAACACATGAAGACATTTTTTTGGGGGGAAAGGCAATGATAATACATTTTAGTTGCCTTGAACAAAAAAAAATCAGCTTTGTATACAAACTTTACTGATATTCTAAAGCATGAAATTCTTTAACAGAAAGATTGCCTGCAGCACAGTGCGGCTAAGAACACTATTCTACTAAAAACATAAAACATGAATAACTGTTGCCATTCATACAAACTCAATAGCATATAAAGCATGTTGCCAATAACAAGATTATTGTTAAAAATCATAACATAAAATTAAACAGTCAGAAAATAAATAAGGCAAAAGAAAACAAGAAATGCAAATATTAAATATACATCCAACATTAACTCCCCCCTTGCTATTGCATTAACAATAGATCATTCGCGATGCAATGGCAATGGTAAAAGTTTTACTGCAGGTCTTTTAAAATAAGCATTGACAGTTTTTAACGGCACAACTCTAACATTGTCATGCTTTCCAGGATGGATTTCAACATTGCGACCTAAAGGCCAAATACCAGGAGGCATGTTGTCCTCCTTAATTAATACAATATCACCTACAGACAAATTTAGAAGTTGTTTCTTCCATTTGTATCTTTGTTGTAAGGAATTTAAATACAGTACAAAGTCTGTAATCCGAACGTCTATCATCCGGAATGATTTATAATCCTGAGCTCAAAGACACAAACGTTTTTTTTGTATGCTTTACGCATTCGCGTAATGCGTTTACACACGCGCGTTTAATGTTTATGCATGCGCGTTTAGCACAAAAAACAAAGAAACTTAAACAACTTACATTGAAAGAAATCTTATTATAATAATAAAAGCAAGTGTAATGTGTCTGTCTGTCTGTCTGACCGAGCTCTCCAGCCAAATCTATCGCACGCAGGGACCTGGAATTTTTTATACGGAAGCACAAAGGGGCTGGCACAGACTCGAAGCCCGATTCGATTTTTGATTAGAAAAAATTTTAAAAAAATATTTATAATTAATAACACGGTTTTTTTGACTCACTGATATTATTATTTGTTTTCAAATAACGTTCGATTGTAACAATTGATTTCTCATTTAGCGTTAGTTTGCTGTTTGACGATACAAATCGAATAATTACAATTCATTTCTTTTTTGTAGCTTGGGGGGGGGGAAGAGGAGAGGAGTCACATGTCCTACACTACTATTCCTGCGCATTCACTATCTGCATTTCTAAATGCACGGGCAACGCCGGGCGGGTACACCTAGTGTTTAATAAAGTAAACAAATAAATATAAGCTTTTTTTTTTGTAAATTTGATACCCTTTAGATCATAACTATAAATTTTGATACCCTGAGATCATAATTGCTCTTTTTCATAAATTATGGTTCAATTTTAATTTGAATTTCTGCATGACATCTACCAGATTAAAATGATGATATATAATCCGGAATTGTCGAAGTCCCGACGAGTCGAATTAAAGACTTTTGACTGTTGACATTTTATGGAACGCAAAACATTTCTTAAAATTACTGAGTTTTCTGATTAAATTTTATATATATCTTTTGCTTTGCCAAACGGCAACACATTTCTTTTAAACTGTCTAGTTTGTTAATCCCAATTTCATTAAGTTCACATAAAATAAATAAAAAATAAAAAAAAAAAAAAAAAAAAAAAAAATTCAAAATTTGGACTTCAAGGTACATGTGTTCAAGTGGAGGACTATGTGTCTGAAATCTGATGACTTGCTTTCAAAAGGAACATGCATACAGATTTTTTAATATTTAATAATAACAGACTGATAATAAATTAAGATAAAATGTTAGTTTTAATTAATTCAGACTATGTTTAGGTACATTGACAAAATGCGAGATTTGAAGCTAAAAGAGAATAACAGTATTTTATACAAATCCAAAAAAAAAAAAATTATGAAATTCCTCTTTAACATATTTACAAACAGGAATATTGAAGGGTAATAGTTTTTATTTCTTTATATTTCTATTAGCTAAATAAAAACCTTGCTCTATTCTCATGCTTTTGAGGAGAAATCTACTTTTTTAGGCATATGCAAGTTTCCACATCATGAATTCTTATTATAAAAAATTTTAATTGATTATTTTAATGTAATCTTGCATATCAGTTAATGTATACAATTTAATATAAAGATGATAACAAACCTCACACTCTTTTCCTCCAATAAAGAATTTACTACCTTCTTCCAATGATTCAGTATCCTTCAATTTATAACCCACAGCTCGAGCAATTCTTTAAAGAAATTATGTAATATGATTTATCATACATTCATCACAAAATACTAAACACATTATATGATTATAAACAAAACAATTGAAGCTAAAAATATGGCTATTAGATGTTTAGAATTATTGTACACAAATCTAAATTCATAATTACATCTGAGGTTGCATGTTCGATTGAAAATTATATGAGCTTCTAAAATGAGCGATTAAATAAGCTGAAGGTATTATTCATTTACAGAAGAAGGCTGCATAGACACATTAAACTTTAGTAATTGTTTCATCAGAATGCAACTATTTTTCAAATGAAATAAAGCAGTTTTGGGGTTATCAATGAGTTACTTTCATTAACATACATTTACTTTATCATCATTAGAAACTTCTCCACAAAGGCATCCCTCCCCTTAGGCAGATAGCCCTTGAGGCTTTGCCATAACCACACACACCTTTATCATCTAAATCTTCACAATTGACTGCCACAGAATCTATACCATCTGTATTTTAATAACTTATCGGCAGTTCCTTGCACTATTATTTTCTGTTAACAATTATTTTTAATAAGCATTTTATTTCGTTATACCATTCCCATTTCCATTCATATTTTCCCATTTGGAACCTGAAATTTAAAGTTAAAACTAGTTCCAAAATAAGAACTAATTTTAACCATTTAAGACCCATAAATCGGTGAAGCATTAAACAATTTATGGGTCTTAAATGGGATAAAGGAACCAGATAACAAATTAACTACTGAATCAAATTCTTTAGGCATGATTTGAAATTCCATTGACAATATAAAATTAAATTTAAAAAAATTAATTGACTTTTCTACTGAAAATGATTTTGCTACAAAAAGAAAAATTCTGCCACAATCCAATGAATATAAGCCTTCACCTATTTTCGGATGCTAGTCTTAAAGAGTATGGGGCCATGGCATATTTCAGATACTACACGAGTGATTCAGAAATTAAAATTTCCTTTATCATGTTGAAATGCAGGGTTGCACCTTTAAGATCAATCAGGCTTCCTCGTTTAGAGTTAATGGGAGCACTTGTGGCTGCTCAAATTTATAAATATTTTAGAAAATTGTTTGGTGATTTAATTGAGAATGTTTATTTTTGGAGCAATTCTGAAATTGCCATTACTTGGATTAAAGGTTCACCAAATAATTAGAAACCTTTTATCGCCAGTCGTGTTACGGAAATACAGGGTATATGCAACAAAAAATTGTGGAACCACCGCGAAGGGAAACAAAAATCCTTCACATTTACTGACTCGAGGAATTAGTGCTTGTCACTAGTTAAGAATGATTAGTGGTGGCGTGGGCCATACTAGTTATGTTTTCCTACTGAAAACTTTCTAAAACAAAGGAAATTACAAACAATTTCAGAACTGCTAGAGTTAAGTAAAAGTATTATTTTGACAGCACCTGTAATTAATTGACAATGAATCCCCAATTTTGCATATAGAAAAATTCAGTTCTTTAGGAAAATTACTTCGAATTACTGCCTATGCATTTAGATTTATTGGGAGGCTTCTGAAAATGTCTACAGAGAATAGACCTGTAAGTGCTTTTGATATTGAAGCAGCTGAATTTTATTGGGTAAAAATTATGCAACGAGAATCGTATCAAGTGGAAATAATTAAGCTATAAAATAAAAAACCAATTCTCGATTCTTCCATCTACTCCCTTAATCCAAAGCTTGATGAAGAGGGAATTCTTAAGTTGAAAGGACACATTCAATTTGCAGACTGTCATGAGAATTTAAAACACCTTCTTCCATTACCCTCTAAATGCAAGTTCACCGAGTTGATCATCATGGACTGACATGAAAGGGTATTCCATGCTGGAGTTAATTCAACACTAACACAAATCAGAGCCAAATATTGGATCATTAAGGGAAGGCAGCGTGTTAAGATTGTCATCAGCAAATGTGTGATATGCAGACAATATAGTGCTCGTCCTGGGGTACAGTATATCGCTCCACTTCGTCCAGACAGAATCCAAGAGTCGTCTCCATTTGCTGTGACCGGGTTGGACTTCGCCGGTCCATTTTTTACGAAGGTGCATGCTGCTGTTAACGTGTGCGATTACTTGTGCCTTACATATAGAGATAGTAACTGATCTCAGCACTGAAAGTTTTTTACTAGCTTTCCAAAGATTTTTAGCTCGCCGAGGGAGGACTGTGTACCACCGTGTACTCCGATAATGCCAAGACTTTTAAAAGAGCTGATAAAGAACTAAAACATATTTTCAAAACTTTGAGTGACTCATCTGTGAAAGAATTATTTTCTGCTAGAGGCATAAATTGGAAATTTATTATTGAGAGGGGTCCATGGTGGGGAGGGTTTTGGGGAGCGTATGGTACATGAACCATAAAATCCAGCTTACGCAAAATTATTGGTCGATCATCCCTTACTGTGAAAGAGCTTGAAAACAGTGCTCATTGAAATCGAGGCAATGATTAATTGTAGACCAATTACCTACGTGTTTACCGATCCCAATGAACCTTCTCCACTAACCACCCTCTCATTTTCTGGTTGGTAGACGACTACTATAACTGACTATCTCTGCCTGCTAATAAAATAACATCAAATAATTTGATTGGATCAAGAAATTCAATTATTAAACGATATAAATACCATCAAGATATTTTAAATCATTTTTGGAAGCGTTGGAGATCAGAGTATCTTTTTAATCTGAGATCTGCCAATATTTGTCCTCCACACTCTAACGCATCTCAGTTTAAAATCAACGATATTGTATTGATTCTTGACGGTAAACATCCCAGAAATCTCTGGATGACAGGTAGAATTTTCGAATTAATGCCAGGCAGAGATGGTAAAATAAGATCTTGCATAATTAAACACTTACTGGTACCTCAAATAGGCCTATACAATTGTTATATGGAACTTAACTAATGTTTGTATTTTGTATTTTTAGGTTTGATTCTCCTGACCTCGCTGATAGGTATCATTTAATGTTTTGTAAAATTTATGTGCTTATAATTATGTATGCATGTTTGTTATATCTAACCATTTCTCTAGGATTGATTGTCGAAATATTAATTGAATAGTCTAGAGTATGTTATTGAAGATGAACTCTCCACCGAGTTCAGGTGGGGAGTGTTAAATAATTTGAAAGAAAAGGCTACAGGGCGCCGATGCTCGCATTGTTGTAAGAGTGAAGAGTGTAAGTTTTTGTTTATATGAAAGGCGGCGGCCTAAGAATACGTGCTGTATATAGTGAATTAAAATATTGTTTAAAATGTAAATGCGTTAAGGTTTTGTGAGCCACTGAACCACCACCTGATATAAAAACGTAAATGATTAAAGAATCCATTTGATTTACAGCTTCGGATGGCATTTCCATAAAATCTGCTTCATCAATTTCTTCTTCCACTAATAAATCTTCAATGTCCTCAACAACCAAACAGTGTATTTCCGGTATTTAAATTTTCACTTAATAAAAATTCACTATTTCTTAGTTAATTATCCTGTCAAATGATGAATGTTTAGAAAGTACTGAGCATTCTTCATGGAATAGATATTCTTATATAATAGGATTCCATTAAGCTGCTCACCCCGAGATGAAGGATTGCTCATAGCGTATTTTTTAAGTATGAAGTTCTTTTAGGTCAGTACTTTTTAGGAAATAAGAAGTACTTTTTAGATCAGAAGTTTGTTTACACTTTTTTTTTCTAATTTTTGCATTAAATTTGGATGTTTTACACTTGAATAATCAACCAAGTGTTACTTCAAGAATTAGTTAATCAAGATTTATTAAATAAAAAATTACATTTTATCATATTTTATAAAGTTTAATCTTTTGAGTTCTAGAATTGAAATAGCATGATATGCGATGTCTGAAGGTACACTCTGCACAAAAAAAAGGGGGCAGTTCTATATCTCTACTGGGCTGATTGACAGAATTTAACTTGTGTTTTTCATGTCTCAAAAGTGTGACTTGGGATATATATTAGAGTTATATATAGCACTGTTCAAACATAGATATTTTGATACAAAAGCAGAAATGACTTACCTATTTTTTTCCCATATTTCAATTCTACAACTCAAATTATTTCAAAGTGTCAAGTTTCGTAACAATTGTATGGGTAGTTTTTAAAAAAATTAGATTTCAAATTTTTAGCTCCTCAGTGCTAATTAAATTTGTTATATATTAAAAAATTTTTGGAATTCCAAAATTGTTATCATCACCTTAAAGTAGATGTATTTCTAGGCACACATGCAAAAAATTTAGTTTTTTATTCCAAATTTGCCAATATATATGTGAATTTATATATTATATACTGACACATTTTCAAAATTTGGCATATTTATTATAAGCGATAATAATGCCAAATGTGGCTTACGCACTTTGTTGAAATTATTTGAAAGAATGAACGATGCACCTTTTTCTCTCATTCATGTACAATGAAAGGGAAAGGAAAATAGGTTACCATAAATTAAGAATTTCGCAAAGTGAATTAAACTAAAAAAAGTGCACCAAGAAAATTTTTTTAATTTCTTGGTAAGTTTCTTACCAAATTTTACAAAATTTAATATTTACGCATAATTTGACTTTTAGAATCAAAACAGAGAATAAAACCAGTATGCCATTTCAGAAAAATCTGATTTTGTGTTATAATTAGTACGTTAGAACAATGCTATACATAAATCTAATATATATGTGAAATGAATGCTTTCGAGACATGTAAAATGCACGTCAATTGTCCCAGTAGAATGGGAGATATAGAACTGTCCCATTTTTGTTCTACACAGAACGTACACTGCCAAAAAAAAAAAAAAAAAAAAGAGGGACAGTTCTATATCTCCCATTCTACTAGGCCGATTCACGAAATTCAAATTGCCTTCTCCATGTCTCGAAAGCACGACTTAGGATATATATTACATTTATATATAGCATTATTCTAACATAGGTATTTTGACACAAAATCAGTTTTTTTTAAATAACATACCAATTTTTTTACAAATTTCGATTCTACGACTCAA